TTGTCCTTCAGTTAAGGACCGTTGACGGAAAATTTCCGTCATTTTCTTAAGTTAACCCCAGATCGCCGCGATCGCGGCAATCGCGGGGTTAACGGTGCTCCGGTCTGCCTCTGCATTAGAGGCAGACCGGGAGCACCCGATCGGGCTGCCCCAGCACCGGTGCTCGCTCTGACAGCATGTCAGAGCGAGCACATGTGCTCCACATACTCACCTTCTGCCTCCCTGCACTTCCGGGTTCTGTGTGAAGTGCAGGGAGACGGATCAGTGCTGATCTGCTTCCCTGTGTAAAAAAAAAAAAAATTAAAGTTAAATCCCACCCCCCCTGCCCCTGTTTTAATAAAATTAACCCCTTCCCTGCCAATTGATCACTGACTACAGTGATCAATTGGCAGGGTATACATTTTAATGTCATCTGATTTTTTTTTTTTAACCCCTGAGGGTTAATTATTTTTTTTTTAACCCTCAGGGGTTAAATTTATTTTATTAATTAATTTAAATATTAAAAAATTATATATTTAGCTAGCTGGGATGGGTGGAAGTTAGTGGGGAATTGGGGAATTTTTTGTTAGGCTAACTAGGGGTTAACGTTAAAAAAAGTTTTAAAATAAGCTTTAAAAAGGTAAAAAAAAAATTTTTTTAAATGTTTTAGTAACGTTTAAGTAAAAAAAAAAAAAATACCACCCCCTTTACCCAGTCTAAATAAAAATTAACCCCTTCCCTGCCAGCTGATCACTGCCTACAGTGATCAAAATACAGATCACAGTATTATACTGTGATCTAATTTTTTTAACCCCTGAGGATTAACTTTTATTTATTTTTTTTAACCCTCAGGGGTTCCATTTATTTAATTAATTAATTTAAATATTTTATAATTAAATATTTTGCTAGCTGGGGTGGGTGGGGGTTATGGGAAAATGGGGAATTTACGGTTAGTGCTGCTTACTGCTAGTTAGGGGTTAACGGTAAAAGAAAAGTTTAGAAAAAAAATTAAAAGTGTAAAAAAAGTTAAGATAGTGTAAAACATTTAATAAGTAAAAAAAAAAGTTTAAAAATGGGTTTTACAAAGTAAAAAAAGTTTTACAAAGTAAAAAAATACATTTAAAAATGCTCATTACCACTACACTTGGTACAAGCTAGCGGAAATATTATCCCACGCTAAGGTTCAAAATATGCCTTTTGAATTACCCTGGGATGTCTTCTTTAAGAAATGATATGCCTTTATGGTGTAATTGGATGATATAGCCTTGTAAAATACTCTAAAATGGGACATGGACACAGCGTAAAAATTCAAAGTTTGGAAAAAACTGGAATGGCTGTGTCTCAAATGTGCCCCTTCAATGTCCACATATACCTGGCAAAGGTACATACGGGGGTATTGCTGTACTCAGCGACATAGCTGAACAACATATGAAGTAGTATACAGTCGTAGTACACATAAGGTTTGCAAAATATACTGCGCAAACTCACTTTGTGTGTCAAAAAGGCAGAAAAAATGCTTATTACCACTACACTTGGTACAAGCTAGCGGAAAAATTATCCCACGCTAAGGTTCAAAATAGGCCTTTTGAATTACCCCGGGATGTCTTCTTTAAGAAATGGTATGCCTTTATGGTGTAATTGGATTATATAGCCTTTTAAAATACTCTAAAATGGGACATGGACACAGCGTAAAAATTCAAAGTTTGAAAAAAATGGAATGGCTGTGTCTCAAATGTGCCCCTTCAATGTCCACATAAACCTGGCAAAGGTACATACGGGGGTATTGATGTACTCAGCCGACATAGCTGAGCAACATATGAAGTAGTATACAGTCGTAGTACACATAAGGTTTGCAAAATATACTGCGCAAACTCACTTTGTGTGTCAAAAAGGCAGAAAAAATGCTTATTACCACTACACTTGGTACAAGCTAGCGGAAAAATTATCCCACGCTAAGGTTCAAAATATGCCTTTTGAAATACCCCGGGATGTCTTCTTTAAGAAATGGTATGGCTTTATGGGGTATTTGGATTATATAGCCTGGTAAAATACTCTAAAATGGGACATGGGAACAGTGTAAAAATTTAAAGTTTGAAATGAACTGGAATGGCTGTGTCCCAAATGTGCCCCTCCGATGTCCACATATACCTGGCAAAGGTACATACGGGGGTATTGATGTACTCAGCCGACATAGCTGAGCAACATATGAAGTATTATACAGTCGTAGCACACATAAGATTTACAAAATGTACTGCGCAAATTTACTTTGTGTGTCAAAAAGGCAAAAAAACGCTTATTACCATTACACTTGGTACAAGCTAGCGGAAAAATTATCCCACGCTAAGGTTCAAAATATGCCTTTTGAAATACCCTGGGATGTGTTCTTTAAGAAATGGTATGCCTTTATGGTGTAGTTGTAATATGTAGCCTGCTCAAGTGCTCCAAAGTGGGCACGGACGCATCAAAACCCTCCATGAAAATTCACACTTAAAAACCTTAACTTGTTACGTCTCTTTTATAGCAGTGTAACTTCACAAAATAGTGTCTAGGTCATACATTGGGCATATTGTTTTACTCAGAAGACTTAGCTGAGCATAATTTGGGGGGTTTGAACTTAGTGGCACATATGAAATGTACAAAATGCCCAGCAAAAATGTAATCCGTATGTAAAAAATGCCCAAAATTATTTTTTACCACATACTTTGGCATATATTGGTGAAAAAATGGGGGCATGTTAAGGCACAATATGCACCATATGAGATACCCTGGAGTGTCTACTTTTATAAATGGTAGGCCTTTGTGGTTTTTTTTTGAACAGTCAAACTGCTATAATACCCCAAATTGAAGCATAGGCCCATTAAATCCGCCTCTCAAAATTCTACTGTAAATGTTGAAACGGACAGGTCTCCTATATGGCACTGTAGCTTCACGAAATAGTGCCAAAGACATACAATGGGGGTATCGTTGTACTCAGCAGAAGTAACTGAACACAAAATAAAACTTTGTACAGGAATAGCACACACCAACTTTACAAAATATACATGGGAAGTTCTTTGTTATAAGTTTGTGTGCCAAAAACTCCAAAAAACTAAATTTTACTCCAATATTTAGCAGAGATTGGCGGTGAAATGGCTACTTAGAAAGTGTCAAAAAAACCTTAGGACAATAGCCTGTGATGTCTACTTTATATAAATATATACTTTTGTGTGGCAATTTTGTTTTCTTTTATGGCTATTAAGCTTACAAGACAAACATACAAAATTCTAAAATCGCTCTACATTAAAAGTTTATTTTACTCCTTGTGCTTTATGACCTGTAACTACCAAAAAAAACTTTAAATCCCAGACACATTATATATTTTGTAAATCAGAACAACTAAATAAATTTATTTTTAATTACTTTCTTTAACCTGCACTAATTAGGCACACATTATTATTGTAAAAACTGTACAAAAAACACAACATTTTTCTTTTTTTTGCATTTTTCTGTATTTTTTAAATAATAAATAAGCATTTATATATATATATGTTACATCAAATTAAAGCCCTTTATGTCCTTTAAAAAACAGTATATAATATGTGTCGGTGCAATAAACGAGAGAGATGCAAATTGCAGTTGAACGCATACAGCAAGAAAATGCAAAAATTGCTTGTGTCATTAAGCGTAAGACAAGCTTCTGAAGCTGTGTCCTTAAGGGGTTAAATTGCAACACAGTGTTTACACTTTAGAAGTTCTTTACTCCTGTTCTGTTAATCAAACTTTAATGACACACTGGAGGCAGCTGTAAGAAAATAGACAACAGAGCATGCACTGTAGCCGTGGTTATTTTTGACACACCTGAGACTTCAATTGTTAATTTACTACAAAAAAAAAAAAAAATCACTGTTTTTACATGCAGATGAGCTTAGAAATGAAACCATGATAGTTGAGGATCGTCCTGATTTGGGAACCACAAAATACCCATAAAGCTAACATCATGAAAGCCACACTTGCAGTTGATATAGGCCAACATCTGAAATAATAGCTCCTTATGCAAAGTAGTATATCTTTATGACTTATTACATATGCATCTTTTGAACTATAAACAAGAAAGGCATTCAAGGCAGGTTCAATTTACATTTTAATTTGGTATGTAGCTAGTTGCCTATAATATATAGATTTACTTAAGCACCCATAACCATGCTAACACATTTTACTTATTAAGGCATGAGTGAATTAATCATGGGGGGGAGTTTTAATATTGAATCTTAATAGCAACATTGACTTGAATCCAGCAGCAACGTTCTACAACAGAGCATAATAGCATGAGAACTGTTTAGATTGTATGAAGGCATCGCTACTGCAATACCTATTGAACCACATTCAATGCTACATTTCTAAATTGCCCACTTGGCGTTAGTAATCTGAGCCCCCTTGCTAGATTCCTGAAGGCAGGCAAAACTCACACAACGCGATCCAGTGCAGACATCTTGATCGTGTACTCAGACCCACGTGTATTGCTACACTACTACAGAACCACTTCCGCTTCCGGCTGTACATGTGACAGTATCTCTGGTCGCAGAAATCTAGCGTCATCAAAGGGTCAGATGAGAAGCGCTCGCTATTTCCCACAATAAACAAGGGGGAATGCAGTGCCTGCAGAGAAGAAGCAGAGCGACACCTACTGGTTATCGTATGCATTGCACCACTGCTGTAACAATGTTAGTAAAGCTAGCGCAGTAAAGTTGGAATATACTAATTAAAAAAACATTAGATTTTTTTTTTTTTAAATCCTTACCTCCATTTTGTAAGTACTATCTGAGGCATTAAAGTTATTGGTGATAAGAGCATTAGTCAATGGAACTCTCCAACACCCTAAAGAAATTCAGAAATACAAGGTTGCCTTTTTTATTTTCAAGGTTAGATTTTTTAAAATGAATAAATAATTTTAAAACATTTTGTTGGATTTTAACTGTAAACACAAGCTGCATCTCCTGGCTAATCAGAGCAGTTTAGAACTCGTGACATAGGACTTGGCTCATGTAATCGACACTTTTCTTCTTGGAACCTTTTGAGTTTTAATGAGGCAATTTCTTTGGTAATCATTTCTGCAATTCCTTTTTGTGTTGGTGTTAAACCATCTGAATAAAATAAAAAATAAAATAAAAAAACACTGACGGTAAGAAGACAAAGACGAGAACTACTGAGGAGAAAGACCGCAATGGAGGAAGGAATCAAAAAAAGAGGAAAGCAAGGACGGTAATATTGGGAAAGAACTACCGGTCAAGAAAAGGAAGATAAAAGAAAGGAATTCTGGAGAAGAAAAGTGAAGGTAAGAAACAGTTTGGTAGATTCATGGGAGAGCAGTTTATTATATTCTATCATGGAAAGTGGAGGGTTACCTTCAGGAAACCGCTAAGCTTATTTAAATATTACTAAAGTAAACTCATCCTTTCGATTTATTTTAAAAACGTCTTCATGATCTAATGTTTTTACCAGAACAAAAATAGTTTTTAACCACTTCAGGACATAGCAGTAGATTCTAGTACATTTTCTGAGTACAGAATGACCCCCTTAGCATGTATCTTTGTCAATTTTTGTGAAAATACTGATCTAAATTAATAACCTACCCAATACAGTTTAAAAAAAAATGAATATTGGTGTGGGTCTGTTTGTGTGGCTAAGTGCATGTGATTTTATTAAAAGACACGAAGGCTCATGTTATGCGTTATCTATCTCTTTCTTTATTCCTCAGCAGCAAAGAAAGGATATTAAGATATTCATAGAAAGAAAAAAAAAAAAATACCCTCAGAGGGTTAAGTCCACATTCCATATACTCCCATGTGACCCTAAGCCACTCCTTTTTCTTTGCTGCTGCCTCAGCTAAGTACCATCAAATTGTAGTCTGTGGATTTTTTCTGTTTTGTGTTATTAATTACCTGTTATTTAAATTTTTTTCTGTTAATATAACATTATCTGTGTTTCACAGCAAACCTTTCCCTCTCTTCTCTTTGGGTAGTTCATTACCCGTTTTCCCCCCAGTGCTAGGCGACCCCGACCTTCCAGGGTCTCCCGCTGGCCTCAGGGCACATCTCCCTGTCTGCCCGCCGGTTTGCGTCCTAAACCCCGCCGGTGCAGCCCGCGCATGTGCAGTTCACGGTTGCGCATCGCGGCGCCCATCTTACGTGTGGCAAAGTTTTGCCGCTTTTTTTTTCTCCCATCGTGCCGCTCGTTTGAGGGGGTGTGCGAGCTGATTGGATGCCTGTGTTGCTGGGCAGCTTACCGGTGCTACTCTGAGGCTATTCCTGAGGGAACACTCGGTAAGCTAGCCCATTAAACCTGTGTTGCTTTGTGTATTTTTGTGCCTGACAGTCCCTGCTTTTAGCCCAGCCCTCCTTCTCTAACATGATCCTTTCCTATAGTTCAACCCCAGTGTGCAGAGTGCTATCTGCCCTTCATATTGTCACTATGCAGACCCCCTACTGATTTGGAGATTAATACTCCTAACACCTCTGGGAATACCAATAGGTAGCGCCTATCCCCTATTTCAAATAGACACCCAACCCACCAAGGGGCAGAGGAAGCGTCACTAGAGCAGATAAACTTGGAGGAGTTTCACTCGCTCTTAGACGCCACCATGCCCAAACTGGTCATGCAGGCCATTTATAATGCAATGGGAGCTATGTCGGACAATTTGTCCCACTCCATATCGAATGCTATCACAGCATCTAACCAAGCTTCTGGGTTAACACTCCTTAAGGCCTCTGATGACAAGCCAGTGGTCCCTAGCGGCTGTAAAGCTACAACAACACCTCCAAAATTGTAAATACGGATAGGCTACGTCCGGTCACCATTGATGACGTGGTGCCCCCATGTAAAAGCAGTGCGGACATGGAAAAGCGCAAAATCCCTATCTGATTCTTCTGACTCTGATTCGGATTCTGAGGAGGTTTCTGGCGAGTCCGATGTGATCGGCTCTATTGAATTGGAGAATTCGTCTCCTGACCGCAGTTTATCTGCATGACCAGTACTTACTATTTAAGAAATGGTGGACAATTCAGCTTTCCTCGACCCACAAGGGGAACCCCTGTTTGACACTGATGCCCTCCAGAACCCAAGGTCAGCTGAGTGGCACCCCACTGACCACGTAACCAAGTACATTGCTGCTAGGATTAGATTAGCCATGAGGAATAAACTTAGGGTGGAATGCCCACGTCCTACGGTCACCGACATGGCCTGTGTTACACCGGATGTAGACCCTAAGGACCACAGGCAAAAGGACTCCTATTCGGGGACAATTTTGTTAAAGAACTGGACAACTATGTCAGTACCTTCACAGCACTGGACAAGGCACAATCAAACATGAAGAGAGTGTTCTCTCTGAAGGTTTTTGGTTGGACCGGCAGACATTGGGGCCATCTGCCCGAATGCTCTTCCCGGGGTTTCTACCGGGGATACCGAGGCTCCACTACGAGTAGATTCCAGACTACAGAGATCAACCACCTACGCCCTTCTTCCCGGTCAGGGGCAGACCTTGGCAATCCCGAGGGACCAGGGGAACCTCCTATGGCCGACTGCCTTATGGTGAGTCTTTTGCCAGCCCATCTTCCTTCTATGGTTCCAATTTTTCGATGCGTGGCACATGTTGACCTCAGTCGTTTAGGTCCTAAACACCATTCTAGGTTACCAAACCACCGTGCCACACAGGATAGTTTTTTCCCCACACGACCAGGGTCTAGTGTCAGAGGAAATTTGCACGCTAAAGGCAAAGGGGGCAATTTGCAAAGTGCCAATTTCCACCCCAGAATTTCTGAGCAACCTCTTTTTGGTACCCAAGAAGGGTGGTGGTGTGAGACCGGTTATCAATCTTCGCCCCCTCAACGCATTCGTCCGGTACCACCATTTCAAAATGGAGGGAATTCTCTGCCTTCGAGACCTACTCATGTTGGAGGATTGAATGGTCAAACTCGACCTGCAGGACGTTTTTCTCACAATCCCGATTGCCGAGGACTGCCAACGCGTCCTTCAATTTCAATGGGACAAGACTATGTAGCGTTTCCAGTGTCTTCCCTTTGGCCTCTCTTCAGCTCCATGGTGCTTCACCAAGCTGCCGAAACCAGTGGTCGCCCTTCTGCGCAGCAGAGGTGTTCGTATGATAATTTACCTGGACGATATGCTAATCATAGCCCACAATGCCACCTACTTTGTCAAAACCTCTCTTGGGCGCTGTCCCTCCTTCAAAATTTAGGATTTCTGATCAATTGGGAAAAGTCAGTGCTCAACCCAAACCATGGAGTTTCTAGGATTCAACATCAATGCGGTACAAGGGACATTCCGTCTACCACCCACAGAGGTCCAATTCATCAAGAAAGAAATCCGCCGAACATTGACACGTCCGGTTTTGACCTTAAGACAACTCGCCAGGATGATCGGTCTCCTCATGGCCTCCATCCAGGCGATTTTCTCAGGGCCCTTAAATGTCTAAAGGCCACGCACTTACGCTTGGGTCAATCTTACTCTGATTCTGTTCCACTCAATTGCACGGCCAAGGAAGAACTCGCCTGGTGGCTGCAACACATGCAAGCGTGGAACGGCAGAGCAATCTCCGGGAACGGTGCGGATTTCGTCATAGAATCCGATGCTAGTACACTAGGTTGGGGAGCGCATTGTGGTCCTATCTCCACAGGAGGAAAATGGTACCAAACAGAAATAGAGCTTCACATCAATGGCCTGGAACTCATGGCCAGGTCGTTCGCCTTAAAAAGTCTCCTCGGAGTCACGACCAACTGCTCCATCATACTACGAATGGACAATATCTCTGCAGTCCGCTACATCAATCGCCTGGGCGGCACGAGATCCAAGATACTGACGGAACTAACAAAGGAGTTTTGGCAATACTCTCTGGATCGCAATATATCAGTACAAGCAGAATACATTTCAGGTTTGTCCAATACAGTAGCGGATTGGAATTCCAGACATCTGAAGACACCAGCAATTGGTGGCTGGACCGTGAATGTTTTCTACAACTACAAACTCTCTGGGGTCCGATGCATATCGACCTCTTCGTATCTTGATTTAAGTCCCAACTCCTGGTGTTCTGGACCCAGACGCCCTAGCATTGGATGCCTTCCTCCAACCATAACTGAACAGACGGTTTTATGCATTTTCTCCCTACTGGCTCGAACATTATTACACCTTAGACGTTTTCGGACATCTTTGGTTGTTATAGCCCCATTCTGGACTGCACAACCTTGGTTCCCTTCACTCATGGAGATGTTCATAGATCTTTCCAGACTACTTCCTGGATCCACGGACCTGTTACTGGATCCCGACAGGAACCCGCATCCCACAACAGTCTGGACTGTTTTACGAGTGGGTTATTAGTTTGTCTCATGACTTGGTTACCTGCTATATGCTTAACTTAAACATGAATTATATTATTCAGTTTAGTCACCACTATTGTAACATAGGTGATATTCTATTGGAGCATATTTTACCATTTGTTCTCACTGTTCATTACAGCTTAAAACTTTACGATGGCTCTCATCAGGACCGATTTCTTTCACAGGTACAACAGATGTGTTCACAAGGATTCGTTCCCACGGAAGATGTCGCCTCACAGACAACGACTGTTCGACTGCCTGGGTGGATTCACTTATTTTGTTTTAGTTCTTTTTTGTTAATTATTGGCTTAGGCTTCACCAAGAAAGAGGAGTGGCTTAGGGGCACATGGGAGTATATGGAATGTGGACTGCTCTCATTGGCTAAGATGTTATGGTTAACCCTCTGAGGGTATTCCTTTTGTTTTTTTCTATGAATATGTTAATATCCTTTCTTTGCTGCTGAGGAATAAAGAAAGAGATAAAGCATAATATTTGCCTACGTGTCCTTAATAAAATCATGACTTTACATCATATAAATAGTAAAATCTGGTAATTATATGTGACTAGTATATGCATGTGCTTCTATGTGACAGAGAGTATGCGTGTGCTGTTACTATCATGACTGTGTGATTATGTTTCTGTGTATGTGATTGCGCACGACCATGTTTGTATGTATGTATGCAATGCATGTCACTGTGTATGTTTGTGTGGGCACAAAAAAGGGTAAGACGTAAGAAGGTTTAGAAGATGCACGAGAAGTTAGGTCAATTAAGAAACACTCGAGGGTGAAAGGGAATTAACCCCTTAAGGACACAACTTCTGGAATAAAAGGGAATCATGACGGAATATTTCCGTCATGTGTCCTTAAGGGGTTAAGAGAACACAGATTAAAGGAGGGATTAGGAGAAACACACGAGAAGGGTCAGGAGATATCTGACATTTTCAAATGTGGACACTATGGGGGCTCTAACATGATATATTTTGAGCTCTATTGAGGTGCCACTTTTTTAAATCAATTTTTCCCCCCAAAGTTTGTGGAATTTATCATTTTTTACATAAACATTGCATTTTTGCTGCATATTTTTGTATATGTGTGCTACTGTAATAAAATTCACTAAATTGTACTCGGCTACATCTTCGAGTGCAACAATACCCTGTATGTATACCTATGCAAAGTATATGCAAAGATACAGGGCCAAGAGTTACCTGTAGATTTTATGAAAGACATGAAGGCTCATATTATGCTACACTCTTTCTTTATTTCTCTCAGCAGCAAAAAAAGAAATTATTAAAACAGTATAATAAGACATATAACAATCACATGCAGGGCTGGTTTAACATAGGGGCTGATGAAACTGCGGCTCCAGGCCAATGCCCATGGAATAGGACCTTGTTTAAAAAAAAAAAAGATATTGCACTTTTTTTTTTACTACTTTTCACATGCTCTTGCTTAAGTATGGAAACTTAAGAGGGATGTAGGGGAACACAACTTGTGTGGACTGGCTCACAATTAAATTAGTTAACGTAAAGCTGACTTTGCGCACTACGCAAATGCTCTTGTTGCTTCTAACACTGTGACATGTTCCATTTCTTCTACACTCACTATATTCACCTTTCCTCTTTCCCAGACTGTATAACAGCAGCTTCTGCCTGCTAGTAAGAAGGTAAGGAGGGGAGTAGACAAGTGAGTGGTAGGGGACAGTCCTTAGAAAGCGTGGAGCGAGCGCATCATTAGACGCATCGATGCCAAGCTCAGGGTGCCGTCTGCACAGTATGCCCTTTGTTGGCCAGTCTGCATAATTGGCAGGCAGCCTGTCATGCATTTACACCAGGCTGACTTTCTAATTCTTCAGGCAGATATGCCCCTTTTTTGTCCTGGTTACGGGATTGACATCAGTGGCCCACCCTTTTACCCTGCCCACTGACATTCTGCTTCACCTGACCTGCTGTTAGGGGTTATGGATTTACTTGAAAGATGAAAGTGAGAGATTAGCATAGGGTATATGTTGTTGTTTTTTTAAATAAAGTTTTTATTGATCGTAAAGTAAAGCATCAGATGCAACATTCGTGGACATGCAGGTCCAAATCAGCACCATTCATTGGTCGCGCTGGTCGCCATAATAAACTTGTCAGGACGCGCAGGTCCATTGTGATCTATTAAAGTATTTCTAATGTAATGTAACACTGTTTAATACAATTCCATCCACTCATGTTTCAAGAGCACTGGGAAGAGATTAGCTTAGATAACTCGAGAGCACCTCCCTCCATCCCCCCAGTCTGTCTGGGCCAGAGAGGAGCATTTCTCCATAACCCCCTTGGACACGCCTTAAGGAGGTCCAAGAATCGGGCTACAGTCGTCTTCAATACCATCTCAAACAAGGTTTGGTATATGTTTTCTTATAACTGCATCCTGTGAGTTTCCCTCCAGCACCACCTCCACCAGATACTTGACGCTTGGGAGGTATAACTGTTTTAGTGTTTTCTGTCGATAATATTCTGTAATTAGGCCCACGATAATTGTCAGCACCAGGCCCAATGGGCTCTTAATCTGGCTCTGATCACATGTCATAGTAACAAGGTCAGCCAATCAGTAACTCTTCTGTGGTATAACGGGCAGAGCCAAACCAACTACTTCCTCTTTCTTTGCTGCTCCCTCAAGTAGAACCTGGGTCCCATGGTTCTTAAATTGTGGGATCTATTTTTATATATTTGGTTTATATTCCCAAATTCCAACTCCCTCCTCAATCCTCTTCAATCTGGCTTCCGCCCCCTCCATTCTACTGAGACTGCTCTTATTAAAGTTATAAATGACCTAATCACAGCTACAGTTGCAAGAAAAAAAGTATGTGAACCCTTTGGAATGATATGGATTTCTGCACAAATTGGTCATAAAATGTGATCTGATCATCATCTAAGTCACAACAATAGACAATACAGTCTGCTTAAACTAATAACACACAAAAGAATGAAATGTTGCCATGTTTTTATTGAACACACCATGTAAACATTCACAGTGCAGGTGGAAAAAGTATGTGAACCCTTGGATTTAATAACTGGTTGAACCTCCTTTGGCAGCAATAACTTCAACCAAACGTTTCCTGTAGTTGCAGATCAGACGTGCACAACGGTCAGGAGTAATTCTTGACCATTCCTCTTTACAGAACTGTTTCAGTTCAGCAATATTCTTAGGATGTCTGGTGTGAATCGCTTTCTTGAGGTCATGCCACAGCATCTCAATCAGGTTGAGGTCAGGACTCTGACTGGGCCACTTCAGAAGGCGTATTTTCTTCTGTTTAAGCCATTCTGTTGTTGATTTACTTCTATGCTTTGGGTCATTGTCCTGTTGCAACACCCATCTTCTGTTGAGCTTCAGCTGGTAGACAGATGGCCTTAAGTTCTCCTGCAAAATGTCTTTATAAACTTGGGAAATCATTTTTCCTTCGATGATAGCAATTCCTCCAGGCCCTGACGCAGCAAAGCAGCCAAACCATGATGCCCCCACCACCATACTTCACAGTTGGGATGAGGTTTTGATGTTGGTGTGCTGTGCCTTTTTTTCGCCACACATAGTTTTGTGTGTTTCTTCCAAACAACTCAACTTTGGTTTCATCTGTCCTCAGAGTATTTTGCCAGTACTGCTGTGGAACATCCATATCGCCAGTATCCACCCCTTTCTCACGCAAGATGCTGCCAAGGAGCTTGTTCATGCTCTGGTAATCTCTTGCATGGATTACTGTAATTCTCTCCTAGTTGGTCTCCCCAGAAGCCAAACAGCAGCGCTATAAGCTACAAAGAATGTTGCCGCCAGGCTGATTGTCCCTCCCATACCTCACCCCTCTGTCGATCCTTACAGTGACTTCCTGTATCCGATAGGTGTCCATTCAAAATAATAACCCTTACCTATAAAGCTCTAAACAACTCTAGCCCCTGTTACATTGATTCATAGCTGTGCGCCTTCTCAGTCTCTCCGCTCTGGCAGTGACCTTCTCCTGTTCGCTGCTCGCATTCTTACTGCTAATTTGCGCTTGCAGAGCTTCTTGCAGGCTGCTCCCTTCCTTTGGTACAGCCTGACTAACCCCTTCAGACTCTGCCCCAGTCTACAATTGTTTAAGAAGTCCCTCAAAACACATCTGTTCAGAAATGCTTATGGTCTCTCAGAGTAACTTATCTATACTTATCCATATTTGTCTCTTGCTCTCATCTCCAGTTCTGCTACTTTTCCACCTTGTTTGGTGGCTGTCACCCTTGCTGCCCTGTTGTGTATTTGTACCCCACCTCCTCTAGACTGTAAACTCATTTGAACAGGGCCCTCATCTACCTATTGTTCCTGTGTAGTGATGTCCCGAACGGTTCGGCGAACGGTTTGCCGAATGGTTTGCCGCGGACGGTTCGCCACGGACTCATCATTGAGTAAACTTTGACCTTGTACCTCACAGTCAGCAGACACATTCCAGCCAATCAGCAGCAGACCCTCCCACCTCCTGGACAGCTCACTAACAATGCAGCTTCACAATGAATGTAAAATGGATGCTGTCCAGGATGTGGGAGGGTCTGGGAGGGAGGGTCTGCTGCTGATTGGCTGGAATGTGTCTGCTGACTGTGAGGTACAGGGTCAAAGTTTACTCAATGATGAGTCCGTGGCGAACCGTTCGCGAACCGTTCTGGACATCACTATTCCTGTGTAATTGTCTCATTTATTGTAAATCCCACCCTCTTTTATAATATTGTAAAGTGCTGCGGAATTAGTTGTCACTATATAAATACCAATAATAATATCTTGGATATAATTATATTACTGTGATATCTAGTGTTATCTATTATTAATATTGATTTTGTTTAGTTTATCTACCCTTATTTGGTGTATTTGTGCCTGTTTACCCATTGTTACTGCTAGTGTTCTAGGGGCAGTCCCAGGGTCTATCTGAAGTTGGGGCTCCTTGTTGCTCTGTTTATTTTCTTTTCCTTTGCACTGTCAGGCCTTCCTGACCGGTATTAAGCAGTTTTCCCACACCTTCCCCACTCCCTCCCTCCATTTAAGAGGTTTGTTCAATTTGTTTGTTTGGAGCGCACTCATTTACGCACAGCTCCTTGCCGTCCATTCGCCATACGAATGTGCACGACTAGCACATTCGCCTCTACTGCTCATGTGTATCTTTATGAATGCGCTATGTTCGGTAGAAAAAATGGCCCAAACGATTTTTGCATGACACAAATGATTTTTTCCACCAAACGCATGTTTGTTGCTTTACTGTGGAGCGGTCCATTTTTGGCTGGCCCTTCCACAGACTGCACTTCACTCTCTGTGAGTGTTTAGTTGTACTGGCATTCAGACTGCTCCTTGTCTTTGCTACTCTGTGAGTTTTTTCCAAATCCTTTAATTTTATTCCATTTATCCCCTTTGCTTTTATTGCTCTTTGTGGGTTATTCAGCCCTGGGAAGTGTTTAGATTGATCATTTACACTTTAGTAAAATTTGTGGCCTGTGTTTTACTGTAACGTGCAATGCAGCCTAATAGGGACCTTCCTACTCCTACTGGATCACAGGCTGCCCTTAGATTCCTGAGGGCTTCTCCCCTATGGCCTCTGCAGATGAGGCAGATTACACTATCTCAGAAAAGATGCAATCTATTTTGGACACTTCTATGCCCATGTTATGTCAATGTCTTTATCCAAGACGTTTTCACAGGGTTTATTGCAAGCCCAAATGTCGGTTCCTCCGACCTCTCAGATGTTCGCGATACCCCCTGCCTCTCAGCCTAAGATGGGCAGTTTTACACTTGTTACAGATGGCGTGCAAGTGAATCTACTGCACAAAAGAACCACTGGCTCGGCAAAATCAGCCAGGTAATGGAAACAGGCTAAAGCCCAACCTGATTCAACTGATGAGGAGGAGTATGATCAGGAGTCTGTTCTGGTCCCGTTTGATGACCTGTCTGATTATGCAGTAGGTGAAGTTGAAGTCCCCTCTCTATTTCTGCCGCTGATGGGGTTTCAGGCACTGAGATGAGTCGCCCCTTTGTCAGCTGAGGCAGGAGAAATTATCCTGATGACTTACGTCATCCAAGGTTGGCTGAATGGTCACCTTCTGAACATGTGACACGTTATATTGGAAGACTTCAGAGCTGAAAAGTTGGGGTTTTCATTTCTCCTGCTCTTGGTCAGTATACCTTTTTAATGGGTTTTTGCATTTAGCACTTTATTATTATGGTGATATTGGTATTATAAATTGGGTATTCACTTTCTTTCTGTCATAATTAGTTGATGTATTTTTTCAATGCATGAATAAACATTGTTTATGTGCATACTTTGGTGTGCCTTGGGATCATTACTATTTCTATTGTACATACAAATCCGGTGTGGGGACGGATTTTTTTCCTTAAAGAGCACCCAGTACCTTTTCTACCACATTACTTCTCACCCATTTCCACTTGAGCATTTCTTATAATTATGTATTTGATCCTTGGCGGACATCATCAGAAGTAGTGTTATGAGCCAATCACAATGATTTCCATAGGAAAGCATTAGACTGGTTGAGAGTGTCAAGGAGGCAGATCAGGGACAGAGCCAGCACAAGCCAAACACTGCTCTGGCCAGTCAGCATCTCCTCATCGAGATGCATTGAATCAGTGCATCTCTATGAGGAAAGTTCAGTGTCTCCATACAGAGGGTGGAGACACTGAAAGTCAGTGCTGTACACTGTGCAGCACTGCCCCAGAAAGCACCTCTAGTAGCCATATGAAGAGTTGCAACTAGAGTTGTCCCTAAGCTGTAATGTAAACACTGCATTTTCTCTGAAAAAAACTGTGTGTACTGCAAAAAAGCCTGAATGGGTTATACTTACCAGAACAAATACAATAAGCTGTAGTTGTTCAGGTAACTATAGTGTCCCTTTAAAATCCCCATGCAACTGTCATCACTTACAGTGATCACTGCTAAGCAACATGCATAGCCCAGTGCTGATCACCCTCTGCTGCCAGTGAGTCAGGATTGTAGCTGAACCTGGAAGTTCAGCCACTGTAAATTAATGGGCTGTATGTAGCGTTTACATTTAGCGCTGCACACTGCATGATGGCACTAATTCTCATCCCAGCTAACAGAAGTGCTCTCCAGTTACCATCAGGGAAACAGTTCCTGCTGGTAAAATGGTACATGATGGAATAAGTACATTATGTGTCATTAAGTCCTTACGTTAATAGAAAAATGTGTTGTCCATTGAATATTAAATTATTAGCAAGGAAGCACCATTATAACAATGTGTAATTATTAGACTTTACTATTTTACAGATGTTTATGGTAGTTTCTGGTTAAATCTGTGTGATACATATCCTGAACAATAAGATTTCCCTACTCAGCTTCACAAAATCATTACTGAATTATTCACAAGGGATAAACTATTGAACTCTATTGAACTGAACTGCCTATTAATAATTGTATTTAATTGTTAAATTGGACCAGCTTTCCCTTCACCAGTAGAAACCAGTTCCTCTACGGCAGGTCCAGGACTATCATTGGCGGCATCTCTGTCACTGGATAGAGGTTGATCTTCCACAAATTGCTTGGAAAGGTGGCTATGGAAAGGTATGTGACACATGAAATGCTCACTCAAGTAATGTATTGAGATTGTTTTTTGAATTCCATTTCCAGAAATAGAAATAAGTGTCTTGTGTAATTCATACTGTATTGTGTAATGTACTGCTTAATACATGGTTATAGGAGAGTTGTTGGCTTATAGTCCAAAGTGAACCTGTGATTTATGTGTGATTATGGTCACTTGCAGCGTTATGCACTAACATGAGAAACCAAAGTAAATTCAATCTGAATTTAAAATTTAAAGGGACACTGTAGGCACCGGGACCACTTCTGCCCATTGAAGTGGTCTGGGTGCCAACTCCCACTACTCTTAACCCTGCAAGTGTAATTATTGCAGTTTTTTATAAACTGCAATAATTACCTTGCAGGGTTAACTCCACCTCTAGTGGCTGCCTACTAGACAGCCACTAGAGGGCACTTCCGTGTGCATAGCACAGGAAACCTGTGCTAGAGCGTCGCTGGACGTCCTCACGCTGTGTGAGGACCTCCAGCGTCGCTCAATTCCCCATAGGAAAGCATTGAAAAGCATTTTCAATGCTTTCCTATGGAGAGCTCTAATGCGCATGCGCAGCATTGCTGCGCATGCGCATTAGGTCTCTTCAGCTTCAGACGGGATCAGTCTCGCCCACTGGCTGACGTAATCACCAGGAGGAGCGGCGGCGAGCAAAAATCACCGCAGAGGGACATCGGCGGGGTCTCAGGTAAGTGACCTGAAGGGGTTTTCAACCCTTCAGCTACCGGGGGATGGGTGGTGGGAGGGAGAGGGGACCTGCAGTGCCAGGAAAACGGATTGTTTTCCTGGCACTGGAGTTTCCCTTTAAGTAAAAAATAGCTGAATTGAAAGTATAGCTGACTAGGAGATTTTTTCCAGTTCAGATATTTTGGACATAAATTTGAAATTCACTTTGTCTTCCTGACAATTTTCACTTTAGTGAATAAAGTGCTTTCCACTATATCATTAAATTCACTTTGCTCCCCTGTGAGATTGATCTTTACGTGAATGTATTTATGTAAAAGTTTAAGGGCAGTACATTAGTGTAAATTTACTAAAGAGTTGACATTAACAATGCTAAATTTAGACTAAAATAGAATAGATGACAAGCAGCTCAGCTGTTTTGGCCTAAATAATATTATATACTCAACTCAATTTACTGTGTAGTCAATAAACAAAATATTTCATATTACTGGCATTTTCACATGGCATTCAGGCTTTATAACTGACCCTATTTTAGGATCCGGTCCCACCATCTTGGAGCACAGAGTGAGCGCATCGTTAGAAAGCACAAGGCTAGAAAGATGAAGAGTGCATCGGAGTTCCAGCAATAGCCAGTTTAGCTCTTTTAACATGTCACAATCAGAGCTGGTGCAAGGATTTTTTCCGTCCTAGGCAAAAGAAAAATTTGCCGCCCCCTCCCTCCCCATGTGACATCACAATGCCCCACCCATATGATCTGCCATATCAACTAACGCCAGTACTGCACAGAGTGTGTGTTTACATTAAAAAGCCTGCAGGGACAGGCTCTAGACACCGGAACCACTTCATTAAGCTGCAGTGGTTCTGGGGACTATAGTGTCCCTTTAATGTGAGGTAAATTAGAGATTAGTGCCACTAATAATATACTAGATTTCCTATTTACAACCAGATGAGGATGGTGATGGGTTCTGGCTGCAGTTTGGCTCCACTAATCTGGTGTAGAACAGGATCTCTGGAGGCTATTTGTAACTGTGGTCACAAAATTCAATGTTCTGGGAGAACAGGAAGCAGCTCCATTTTTTAGTGCCCCTTACACAGCTCAAGGTCTGGGCCCCAGGGCCTGACGGTGAGTATGCCCATAAGGCACACCCATGAGTCCACCTATATGTTCCACCCATGAGTTCGCTCACAGGTAGTGGAGTGTGTAGGGGATGTGTTATGTGTTATTGTAGAGGATCTAATGTGTGTACTTATGGAATATGGTGTATAGGGATACCAGTTTGTGTAGGTGATGCAGTGTGTTTGTGTATAAGGGATTTATTGTGTGTTTCTGGTTGTGTGTTAGGGATGCATTATGTGAATCTGTTTTTTTATGCATAAGGGATGCAAGGTGCGTGTCTGTAAGTGTGTGCATTGAGTGTGTACAAGAAATGCATTGTGTTTCTGTGTGTGTGTTTGCATGTGTGTGTAAGGGATGCATTGTGTCTTTCTGTGTATGTGTGCAAAGGATGCATTGTCTTTGTGTGTAAGGGTTGCAATGTGTGTGTGTGTGTGTGTGTGTGTGTGTGTAAGGGAAGCATGTTGTGTTTCTGTGTGTGTAGGGATGCATTGTGTGTTTCTGTGTATGTATAGGGATGCATTGTGTGTGTGTGCGCTTAGTGTGAAAGAGCTACCTGCTCTTCCTTTTGTCCCTTAGAGCTCTACCCTGCCCTTAGTGGTCTCTTCTCACACCCACCCACCCTCCATGTGTTCTTCTCACACCGCCCTCCCTTCCTGTGTTCTCCTCACCTCCCCTTCTCCTCACCCCCTCTCCCGTGTTCTTCTCACCCTCCCTGTGTTCTTCTCACTCCCCCCTCCCTGTGTTCTTCTCTCCTCCCCTTCTCCTCACCCCCTCTCCCTGTGTTCTTCTCACTCCCCCTGCTCTTCTACCCCTCCCCCTGTGTTCTCCCTCATCTCCTTCTCCCTCACCCTCCCTCCCTGTCTCTGTCTCCCCCTGTCTTCTTCTCTTTTACTCCCTCCTGTCTTTCTTACCTCTCCCTCTTTCTTCTTACTCCCTCCCTCTTTCTTTTTACTTCCCCTGTTTTCTTTCTACTCCCTCCCCTCTTTCTCTTCTTACTCTCCTCCCCTTTTCTACCCTCCTCCTGCTTCTTACTCCCTCCTCTCCTTCTTTCTTCTTACTCCCCTCCCTTTTCTTTCTTACTCCTCCCTCATATTTCTTTCTTACTCCCTCCCTCTTTCTTTTCTTTTCCCCTGTTTTCTTTCTTACCCTCCCTCTTTCTCTTTTTCTTACCTCCTCCCTCTTTCTACCCTCCCTGTTTTCTTTCTTACTCTCCCTCTCCTTCTTTCTTATTCCCTTCCCTCTTCTTCTTACTCCCTCCTCCCTTCTTCTTACCTCCCTCCTCTTCTTACTTCCCAGTTTTCTGTACTCCCTGCCCTCTTCTTTCTTTAATCCTGTTTTCTTCTTTACCTCTCCTTCCTTTTCTTTCTTACTCTCTTCTTCTATACCCCTCCCTCTCTTTCTTTTACTTCCTGCTTCTTCTTACTCCCTCTCCCTGTTTTTTCTTACCCTCTCTGTTTTACTCTCCTCTCTTGTTGCCCCTCCCTCTTTCTTTCTTGCCCCCCTCCTCTAGTTCTTCTTACGCCCCCTCCCCCCTGTGTTACAGGGAAGGGGAGGTGAGGAGAGAGGCAGTGCGGCAGCCGCCTGAGAGCTCTCTATAGAGTTCTCAGGCGGCTGCAGAATTTAAAGGGCCGGTAATGGAGGGGCAGGGCGCACCCTCCTATATGGCGCCCTAGGTGGCTGCCTAGTTCGCCTTATAGGATGCGCCGGCTCTGGTCACAATGGTTTATCATATCTGGCCACAGAATGGAATGGCTAACACCCAGGACTTGGCGTCTGGGATTATCGAGTTATGGCACTGAGTTGATGCACTCATGCTGTATTTAATTTTGTGCAAAGTCCTAAACTCCAAGTTGCTAGTAATTCTGAAATAAAAAAATAAAATAAAAAATGGGCAACAAGCACAACATTCTTTCAAATGTGCACATTTTGAGGGTAATCTCCAAATTCGTCTCCAACTTACTTTCTATTAAACGTCCTTATGTCAGGTTTGGGTCACATTCTGAGATATTAATGGAATTTTGATTTTCATGAGTGTGTTCAGACCTTAGTAGGTTTTGGTGTTCTTAAATATTGGCCTTCACATTCCCTGTTCTATATTTTGCCATAAAAGCAAAAACACAATGGCAGGCTTGTTTTATCAGTTGGTTCCTTTTGTTTCATTTTAATAGCGCAACACTATTGGAAATTCTTATTTTAGTGTATGTAAAAATAGAGACAAAATCTATTATTAAGCCTTCTTTTAGCTGTTTGTGTAAGTGTCTGTGTTGTGGTACGGTTCCCAATGTCGTTTACTTCCACTCAGAGCCATTTATGCCTTGTATTAGAAAATCTGCATGAAGATCTCAAGGCCTCTTTGAACAAAATTATGTGAATGGGACGAGGTACTACAATGTAAGACTAAATGAGGGGGTTTAAAAAGAGGGAGGAGAAGAGGAGGAAGAAATATTGGTCCGAGCATAGAGAAGGTTTAAAGTGACACTATAGTCATTAGAACAAATACAGCTTATTGTATTTGTTCTGGTGAGTAGTATCATTCCCTTGAGGCTTTTTGCAGTAAATACTGTATTTTCAGAGAAAATGCAGTGTTTAAATTTTAGCCAAGGGATAACTCGGCTGACAACTCCTCAGATGGCTGCCAGAGGTGCTTCCTGGGTCAGTGTTGTACAGTGTGACTGCCATTCAGTGTCTCCACCTTCTGCATGGAGACACTGAACTTTCAATGTATCTTTATGAGGATATGTTGATTTGCCCGGGCTGTGCTGGCTCTGCCCCTGATCTGCCTCCTTGAAAGTCTCAGCCAATCCTATGGGAAAGCATTGTGATTGGCTCAGTGAATCACTTCTTATGATGTCAGCCAAGCAGGCAAATCAGGGGCAACAGCTGAACACTTGAATAAAGGTAAGATTTTTATATATTTAGGGGGGCAAAAGGTGGCTGGGCAGGGGGATAGATAATGCTAGATGGTATGTTTAACACTATAGGATCAGGAATACATATTTGTGTTCCTGACCCTATAGTGTTCCTTTAACAGTAAAGAAATATGACAATGGTCTTAACAAAGCGCATGTGAAAGATAGGGTTTTGGAAGAAATTGGTTGGCATAGGAAGGTGACAAATGTTCTGTATTTCAGATTTATGGTGACTATAACATCCAGCTTTCACATTTACTCGTAAAATATCATTTAGGCTTATCAATTGGATGGACAAATGCCCTGACTGATAATAAATATAAAAAAAAATATTGTTATTAAAAGAACAGGAGTGCAATAATCTTGGGAGGGACTGAAACACTCGAAACACCAAGACAACTACAACTCGCTTTAGAGGTTATGGTGCCAAGAGTGCCCTGAAGCCCCACCTTTGTAAGGACTCAAACTTTTTTTAACAGGTTGGCTTCTTACCTGAGGTTTGCCAGGCCCAGCTCCCTGTCACCACTACCAACGTTGGACAGCTGGACGTTCCTAAGCAGGAAGTTCAAATGGCTGTCCCTGAGCTAAGCCCTGCAATGCATGTTCACTGGCTGAGATTAATTGGCTGATGTTCTCAGGCAATGAAAAGCATAGCACTTTCAGCTCCTCTTTGCTGGTAGTGGAAAGGGGAGCTGTGCCCAAGGGACCACAGGTAATAATTCAAACCATTCAAAAAAATAGGTTGACTGCCTACAATAAGTGGTCCCCAGGGCACTCCTGGCACCATAACAACTGTATCGAGCAGGTGCAGTTATTGTGCTTGAGGTTGAAAAGTGATAGTTCTTAAAAAAAAATAATGTCTTAAAGGACCACTATAGTGTCAGGAAAACATACTAGTTTTCCTGGCACTATAGTGCCCTGAAGGTTCCCCCACCCTCAGGGTCCCCCTCCCGCCGGGCTCTGGGGAGAGGAAGGGGTTAAACTCTTCTCCTCCTCCTCTTCGGCTGAATGCACAGCCAGTCCATAGGAAAGCATTCACAATGCTTTCCTATGGACGTTGGCGTCTTCTCACTGTGAAAATCACAGTGAGAAGCACGCAAGCGCCTCTAGCGGCTGTCAAGAGAGCCACTGGAGGCTTGATTAACCGTATTATAAACATAGCAGTTTCTCTGATGGACCTGGAACCCAGACCACTTCATTCAGCTCAAGTGGTCTGGGTGCCTATAGTGGTCCTTTAAACAGCTGCCCACCAACATGCTTATAATAGCATTGTTTTGTAGGCACAGGTGCATTGCATAGATAAACAATGTAGTGCGATCCTTGTTTGCAGATAGCACGGCCCTCTAGGGTAAACAACAGGCACAGTCCCTTTTATTTTCATATAATCCAGGCACTTTATTTGTAAGTCCACACAGGAGACAGCAGCAAATGAAAACATAAATATAACTCAAATCCCTATAAACAAAAACCTAGCTCGTCTGAGCACTTACTAACATCAGGTTCCCTATCTCTCAGGGGTTAAACTAGAACAAAACAATATTGGTTTCACCAACCTAGTTTCTTTGTCAGCGCTCTGCACTCCAGTGCTTAGTCAGCCTGTTGCTTTCCTTTCTACACTCCCAGTGCTCCAAGCCCCAAGCCAGCCTTAACTGCTTTCCTTTCTGCACTCCCAGTGCTCCAAGCCAGCCTTGACTGCTTTCCTTTTGCACTCCCAGTGCTAAGTCTCCTTGACTCTCTTACTGGAGAGAACAGCCTCTCTCCTACCTGCTTCCAGGGAGGAACCCAGCTATCCCCCTTTACCTGCCTAGCAGGGAGGGGTTTATTCCTACTGCTACAGCAGATTATCTGCAGCTGAGCAGTGGGTTGGAGACAGTTCCAAAGAACTCTGGCCTGGACCTTATTTCTCCCAGTTGTGTATAAACTGAGGAGTGGAGCATTGGCCCACCCTGCTCTCCAAATGCTCCACCCGAGGGGCCCATAACTAAATGTAGCTTTGTGTTGCACACCACACATACAACACATACTTCCCCAGGGGTTAAATGTTAAAGGCCCCTCTGCCTTCACTTTATCACAGTAGAATAAAACAATAACAATCACAATGGCTGCTAGTTCATTATTTTCTATGGCCTGAATTCTTTTTCTCTTTCCATATGTTTTTATTTAATTTTACACATTAAAATAATTGTACATATCGATAGTAACAAGTAGTACAATAAGTGTAGAATGTAACAATTACAATAATAATAATAAAATTAAAATTAAAAACAAAAACTAACAAAGAAAAAAAGAGGGGTATAATAATAGTTTACATCCATGTGGTTACTAATCTATATTAAAAAAAAAAGCGGGGGGGAGTACAAGTATGTCATATATGTTTTGTATAATTATGTTTTTAAATTATATTATACATGGTAATTATAAGAAAAGAAAATATTTTGTTTTGTCAGGTGGGAACCATGGTCAAAGTTTGTACACATACATACTGACATATACACACACACACACATATACATACATACTGACTGACATACATACATACACGGACAGACAGACAGACACACACTGCTCATTTTTCAGCCACCCTCCTGTTCCTTATATTTTTGTTGCAGTAGAGTAGCTGGGGATAATGGGAGTCGGCAAACTCCTCCAGTCTGCTTCCTCCTTCTTGCGCGGAGTAAGCTGGGAGGAAGTGACAGACCATCACTTCCTCCCAGCGCAACTTGCGGCTGCCATTTTTAAAGGGGCCCGGTCAGGCTATTATACGGCTGGAGCACAGTCCCGGTCCCTGAAGATATAGGGCCCTGTCCCCCAAGAAACCCATTTTAAGACCAATAATTTTTCTAATTTTCTATTGAAGGATTACCCCACTCAGTTCCACTCTAAATTTCATACCAAATCAAGGGGTGTATCAATTTTTTTTCACAAAAGCGTACCCTGTCACACTGAAGAAGTTTCTGTGGACAATAAAGGTAGGTTTATAAATTGGAGAGGTACGCTAACTAGTGTGGAATATACTTTGGCAAACGTTTACTTCCCTTACTCTGGACAACTTCAGTTTTCGAAAACAATTGTTAGTTTTCTAAAGATGCTAAGGGCAGACTGATTATAGGAGGAGATACCAATTTTTTTCTAGACTGTGAAAAGGACATTGTCAGAAAAACTTAATGCATTGTTAAATATTACAATAGTGAAAGATTGGCTAATCGGTGCTCCAAATTTCTTTTTTCACAAGGATTATTCGATTGTTGGCGCATATTACATGAAGGAGAGAAAGACTATACCTATCACTCGACCATGTATAATATGTACTCTCGGATTGACAGGTTCTTGGCAGGTGAGAGCACAATTCTGTGCATTATAAGGTCTGATATTTTGGACACTAACTGGTCTGATCACGCCCCCATAGTGTTATATTTAGAGTAGTCCTTCCAGTCAAATCCATGCAGGCCATGGATCTCAGTGACCATTTAGTCACAGAGCTTGAAAATAAGACACTTGCTGGAAAAGAGCTTGTTAACTATTTCAGGAAAATTCAAATCCAAATTTACTTGTTACTTCATTATGGAATGCTCATAAAGCTGTCTTGCGAGGACGCTTTATACAAAGGGCTTCATATTTGAAGAAAATTAGATCGAAAAATTTAAGAGAATTGGTAAAAGAATTGTATACGGTAACTTAAATCTGGAAAACAAATAAGGCCTGAATTTTCACCCAGATTTGAGTAAAATATCTGAATTAGATAAAAAAAAATAATAATAATTCTGCAGTTTAAAAAAACAGGTTAGGTACAAATTAGGCTTATTGGAATGGCTATTTACTACCTAGAATAAATTTTTACTACAGAATGAGTTATTGTAATGTGATTTCTCCAGTCGGCTAAATTAGGACTTTCTGATATAAGAAAACATGCTAATTTTATGTAACTGATAAGTTAATACATTCTTGTTTATTAGATGTTTTGCTGTTGAGATGTAATGTGGACTGCACTTTCTCTGTAGATTTGACATGTGCATTGGTAACTACACCTTCTTTAAGCACAATTTAGGGTTTGCTCTTGCTACTGTGTCTTTAGTTAAATTCTTACCCTTCTACCCTTCACATCCACCTTTTAGCATTGTTCCTCTTTCATTGGCTAATTTTTACCCTCCCTGTTTTTAAAAGAGTAGGGTTTTAAAGGTACCTGCCAAGCCCAAACCACATTTTCTGTTTTAAAAGATTATAAAATGTAATCTATATATTATGCTAACAGTTTTGCTAGCAAATGCACAGGTTGAAAGAAAACTATTTAAAAATAGTATTTACCCTCACTTGTCAATCAATTCTTTGGCATAGACTCTATGCCTTGGAATTGATGACAGGAAGAGCAGAAAAGTCCTCCCACAGGTGGCCCTTCTGTTGCTAGTGCTGGCTAGAGAGTTTTTTTACTGGCATTGCAGACAGAGTGTCAGTGTCATGGAGGATGAATGGGGAAGCCATCCCAAACAGCGCAAATCACTGAAGACCACAGGAGGAGCAAGGGCGGACTGGAGGTGAGTGGTTACAGAAGTATAATACCCAACTGTGAAAGGAGATTGTGGCAGGGGAGTAGAGTTTCAGGTAAGTGGTGACAAGTTCCCTTTAACTGGATTGATAAACACTCAGCTTGCAGTTGCTACATATTATTTCAATTTGGCCTAGCAGCTGAAAACATCAACTGCGTTCTTTAACTCTATTTTCTTACTTTCGGTACTATCAGTAAGTCATGTTAATGATGTTTCCTATATAATATAACACTCAGAATCTCTTTACAGAGACATAAAGCCATGGAACATCATGCTGGATGACATGGGCCACATCAAGATTGGAAACTTCAGGTTGGAGATGTACAGAAAGAACACAAGAGCATATGCTGGCAACAAAGGTTATATGGCTCCAGAGGTAGGAATAGATCAAGGTTGATGTGTACACTGATTAGATTTGAGGCTACATGACATGAATATATTACACCTCACTAAGAGAAATAATCACTCTGTAAGTAAACACAGCTAGTATAGATATGAAGATAATTAAACACCTAGAACAAATATTAGAGCTTGTTTATGAAATTGCATTCAGATTTATGTTTATAGTAATGCTCACTAATGATCTTTCTTAAATAAACTCACAAAGATGTTGCATATGTGCTTCAGATAAAAATGTTAATAACAGAACGTTATAGAATAGTGCATTAATATTAATATTATGAGTATCAATCATCATTCTGCTATCAAGAAAGAAAACGTTGGTGTAGGTTAAATTGACTGAAATAGAAATCTTTATCAGAAAATAGAATTACAACCAAAGCCAAGGGGGGGAAACAACAAAAAGATGGAATTGGCATCCTGATAAATTATTTATTGTGAACTGTGTGAATAAACCATTTGCTTATTAAATTATGGCCTTGATTTAATCTTTTTGGATAGTTTTTTAAAATGTATTTAATATATATTGGATATATTTTTTATATATGATATATTTTTTGATAGTTTAATATTTTATAAATATAATTGGAAAAGTTGAACAAATATGAAATCATTTGTATCTCTACAAACTATAGCCCAAAAACACCAAACCAGTACTTATCTGACGACTGGCAGCTGTGACCCAGTGCAAGAAGACACCCTGGTTCCGAGGAGAGGCTTGCTGCACAGTTCTAGTCCCTTGGAGGGGTGCTCGCCGTCACCCAAGATGGAGAGCGCTCGGGCGGTGAGTGGGACAGACGGCCGCCGCCATGCTATCCTGCCTACCAGCGGTTCACCAGAAACACAAAGTTAGGTGGATATGGCCCCGCGGGGCGGCGGGGGTTATCCCGGTCCCCACCCTTTGGCCCTTATGAGTGCGAGACCACCTGCATTCCATGCCGCGGCAGTGTCGAACTAGAGCACAGAGGCCGCATCCAAGATGGAGGAGACCGCGTGCCGAGCCATTTCTGCTAGAGGGAAGACTGAAGCTCCCCCCTCACTTGGCTCTCCACCAGCGGAATGCCGGTGCAAACTAAACCGGAATCGGCGGTTACCTGCTGCGACCACACACAGAGCCCAAGGTCCGGTCCAACGCAAGAGCAGAGGTCGGCAAATGTCCAAGCATGCTCCAACATACAACCCTCAGCAGAAACATTGCTCCAACATTCTAGTCTTACCTGCCGTACCTCCCAGACCGACGCTTGGTGGGTGAGAGACCTGGGCTGACTGCCTGCAGCTGCGGAGATAAAACTGGGGATTAGCACGTCTACTACGATCCATATTCTGCACGGGACGGTTAACTGGAGGAGACGCAAGTTAATTACAGGGGGTCTACTACTCTGACACTCACCTGGCATGAAGTTACTGAGGCTGCTTTCGGGCTGTCGTCCCTCCGGATTCCTCATTGGAATGGGTCTCAGGATGCAGCTCACATAATATTGTTATCATGCTACCTAATAACCAAGCGAAGTGAAATGTTGGTCTACTCAGAAATAATAATTTACTCACCCAATAAGCGTCTGTTACACTGTTATATAACATAACCAGTGGGTAAGCCTGAATAGCCTCTTACATGCACGCTATGATTTGCACCAGACTACTGTCTACTCTCATAACATATACAAGAATGTGCACAGTTTATCCATGCCATATGATTGTTTATACATGCTTATGAAAACCCTGGCATTAGCTGTTGTGGCATTGCTGGCGTAAATGTATCTTGTTTAACCCATGCACGACAAAATAAAGAATTATAAATCATTTGAAAAGCTTTCCAGAAACATTAAATGAAGGCCTCATTCATCAGTTTTATCAATGCTCATTGCTACAAATAACTTTAAATTTGTGATTGTATTATTATATTGTTCAGTAATACTTTCTTTTCTCTTTGTAAACTCTAGACCAATCATCTCTGAAATTCTTTAAGCAGATGGGAAGAAATACAAGGCTGCTGTAGATTGGTCGAACTATGGTTTCATCCTATGTTAGAGGATAAAGAAAACACTTCAGAAAGATCCAACTGCTGCCCAAGCTACGCTTCATGACACCGCAAACCAACCTGAGTGTCAGAGAAATCATGTCAAAATCTCATGTCAAAAAGGTGTGTATGATCTGGCAGTCTAGATTGAAGCATTACTTTAAGCAACCTGACCCTTCAGTGATTTAATGTGATCATTGATTATGTATGTGCAGTGTTCCTCTTAATAGTGCTGCACACACAGAGATACTGCACTTTGTTTTCGGAGGTGTCACAAGTCCTCATTTAGGCACACCTCTGGGACGTCCATCCCACTGCAGTGTGGAGGAATGACATCCGTGAAGATGGATCAGGCTGCAAGCATGTGATGGCAGTTGAGTTGTTGTTTGTTCAGCAAAAAGGAGATCATTCTATGTAAAAGTAACTTTTTGCTTATCTAAAAATAGGAATTTTATATAGAGTAAATTAGTAACCCATAATGTCCATAAGTAACAAGATAGTAATTCAGTGAGATGTATTGTATTGGATTCATAGTTTTTAGGGTAATGCAAATATTGTTATGCTAATATGTTGTTGTTTGCATGTTCAGGCAGACTTTAGACAGTGAAATTATTCTGTTTTTTGAAAACTGAGTCATTTATAGGATAGAATAAAGCATAGAGTAACACTGAAAAAATATATTGTTAAGAAAATGGTATTGCAATTGGTATGTATTGACCAACAGACTTTCACATTCATTTTGGGCTTATGGAAATGTAGAAATGTTTGTCCTTATTTGCATATTCGAAAAACAATTTAGAGATACAATATTAAAAAAAAAATTTTGGGGTGTATCCAGTCATTCAGAGAACTGGAAAAAACATTGAATGATTGCTCCGTCCTACATCTACTGGGCTGCAGGATTTAAAAGCAAATAGTTAAAACAGTGACTTGGCAAATGGTCCCCCTTCTGCGTTCCAGTGAGAAATCAGGGGCATATCAAAATGTCTCCCTGAGCCAGTGGTGTATCCTGGTTTTGTGTTGCCCTAGGCAGGACAAAACTCAGGCACCCCCCCGCCCTGCCTTCTAAATACACACACACACATTCACTGACAGATACGCATACACTCGCTAACAGAAACACACACACACACACTAACAGACACACTCACACTCACCAACAGACACACACTCACTGACACACACACTCACAGGCAAACACACTCACACTAACAGACACACTAACAGACACACACACACACACACACACACTAACAGACACACACTCACTAGCAGACACACACACTCACTGACACACAGTCAGACACACACATACACGCTAACAGACAAACACAGTCAGACACACACACTAGCAGACACACACACACACTCACACAGTCAGACACACACACACTCTCTCACTGACACACACTCTCACAGGCAAACACACTCACACTAACAGACACACACACAGTCAGACACACACACTAACAGACACACACACACACTAACACACACACTCACTAGCAGACACACACACACTCACTGACACACAGACACACACAGTCAGACACACACACTAACAGACACACACTCACTCACTAGCAGACACACACTCACACAGTCAGACACACACACTAACAAACACACATTAACAGACACACTCACAGACATATACACACTCACTCACATTAACACATATTTTTTTTTTACCCCCCCCCCAACCTCCTTACCTTTGGGAATGCTGGTGGGGGGGGGTCCCTCTCTCCCTGGGGTCCAGTGGCTGCTGGGCGGGTGGGTGGCTGGCGAGGGAGCACTTCCCCTGAGCGGTCTGCTCAGCTCCCTTTTTCGCCTCAGAGTGAGGCTGGGAGCCGGAATATGACGTCATCGACCCGGCTCCCAGCCTCACTCTGCGGCGAGCGAGGGAGCTGAGCAGACCACTCAGAGGAAGAGCTCCCTCACCAGCCGCCCGCTGGACCATCAGCCAGCGCCGCCCAGCATGTCAGTTAGCCGCAAGGCTAACTAGGCATTTGCCCTGGGCATTTGGGGGCGGCGGTTTTTGCCGCCCCCTGGAAAATGCCGCCCAAGGCAAATGCCTTGTTTGCCTCGCGGTTAAAACGCCCCTGCCCTGAGTCACTCATACGCAGTGGATGAGTGGGTTAAAAAATCAGAGCAGGTGGACTTGCTCCCCTCCCATTCCCTATGTGTCATGGATGAAGAATAAAGGGTCACACTAAGCACTATAACAACTTTAAAGTATTGTTCAGTTTAGAGTACCCTGAAGCCACTCTCAGAGAGTAGCTTATAACTAAAGTGATTTGTAAAAATTGCTGCAGCTACAAGACAAGCCTCCAAAAAATCTTGACCAATCTATTGACCAAGTTTGACTGATCTCTCTCTCCTCCCCATAGAGACAACCAAGCTGGGCAACCAATCACTGCACATAACCCGATTCACAAAACATGCTTTGTGATGTGGATGGGTGGAACTGAGGCTGACGACTAAACGGATGATCTCATGATTACATAAAGGTTGCTATACAGGACTTTATGGGATATAGTCAGGCCTCGGGGACCAGAATGAGAGGCTCTAGATCGATTAACTTCTTCCTGGTTAAAGAGCGATTTGCCTCCTGCCAGTTCCACATGATGCAAGGTGTCTGAGCCTAAAGCTTTGGCTCTAATCAGGTCCTCCCCCCCCCCCTGAGCTGGCAGTGGGATCAGAAGATGGTGTAATGACCATCCCTCGCAGTTTCTCTGCTCTGAGGAAATCCGAGTACAGGCGTCCGGTTTCCCAGCCTCTTTTCTAATGCCCTCACAAAGCGCTGCACTGGAATGTCTGTGGCTGCACCAGCAGCCCACCTGCCAATCAGGTAATGTATTTCTGCCCCCATTCCTGCCTTGGAGGTAAGCAGGAAGGGGACAAATGATATTTAAAAAAAAAAAGACATTAGACTGTGGGGAGACTGTAACACAGCCTTCCCCATACTGCCACCCCCCCCACACGCACACTTAGTTTCCAATTAAATAAAATCCCTACTCATTCACGCACCCTGCCACAATCACTCACCCCCTAACCTAGCCACACTCACCGTGTTACACTCACTCCCTTTACTTTCACACTCACCTCCCAACCTAATCACACTCACCACTCCTCTTATCCTGCCACACTAACACTGTAACATTCAACACCCCTCACCCTGCTATACTCACCCCTTAACCGTATCACACTCATGCAACTCCCAACTCTCATAGTCACCCTCACCTTTTTACACTCACCCCCTCATACTCACCCCCCTCAGTTGCCACACTCACACCCTTCACCGTGTCCCACATCTCGCCCTCACCCTATCACAGTCACCCCCTAAAGATAGTCATTATCATATACAGTCACCTCCCACACATGAAACACAGCCTGAACATAAACAAAAGTGGAGCAAGAAGTTTTTTGTATGGTATACTGCCAGGGGTGGCCATCCCTTAGTAGTGTAATAGGTCAGCCCTTCATATACTTTTTTTGTCACCATCAGTGCAGGTCCAATTCCAAGAATTAAAAAACAATTAAGCACAAAAACCATATCAGCTGTCTGACTTGGTCATTGGAAAAATACAATGTTCTGAAGTCTTTCAAACTTCCTTATCTTTTGTGATGTTTATTAGATTGCAATGTTGCAATTCCACTTGTCCGTCAGAGAGGCAGGTGGTTGATCTTCTTGGTTAAGAAGATATATCTTGATCAAATTGATTGTGTGGGGTGCATACACTACAGCATTAATTAGATTGCTCTCTCCTACCAAGTGACTGACTGTGTATGTAAGTCTCTGCATATCAGTTGAACTGCTGTTTTAACTGCTTACGGGGTTTAAGCTACTTATCCCATAAACCTCTGATGGACAGAAGTTTATGGGATCAAAAAAAAGTCTACTACCAGTTACTATTGTTATTATTATTATCTTATCAGGGTGGAATTTGTCTGTAGCTACAGGTAGGCCCACCAACAGGGAATATAAAAGGAGAGTAACCTTTTGAATTTTGTTAATCTGAATGTGTATAATGCATGTGCGTATATAGCATTATATGCAGATGTGTGAACACACCCATAACACAATGTTGTATGAGAGTTTGTGTACTGCTGATCCTGACAGAGGAATGAATGTTGTGTGATTCAGTTAGTGAAAAAATATGTGAGAGGTGTCTGAATGTCCAATAACCCGGGTTTGATGCCTTGGCATGGCATTACTGCTCAAATGGTCACCCTGTGCTAGTCAACCATTTGTCTGACTGAATTGTATTGTTTCTGTGTGAGAGAAAGGGAAAATTGGTTTCCATGATTTGTATTTTGTTTTAATTGTGTGTGTGCATGCATACTTTCAACTGATCAGTAGGATGGAATCAGTGCATATGCTTTCCCCTTTTCATTTAGATCTCTCATAGAAAATTTTCATTCTGATAGAATAGACCAAGGGTAGACAACCTTCAACACTCCAGATGTTGTTTTACTACAGCCAAGATGCATCAGCGAAGATGTAGCTTACAACATCTGGATTGCAAAAGGTTACCTGTCTCTGCAATAGACCATTCGTGAGACAATCCTTGTTTTCTTTCCTCTTCTTCCTTTAATACATCTTTTTGTCTTTTTCTTCTCCATAATTGTTTCTTTGCTTTGTACTTTTTTTGGTGACTGTTCCCTTGACACCGTTTTCCCATCACATTCTTAGGAAAAGCTACTGTACAATATAGTTAATCGTGAATCCCTTATTGCAGTAGAAGAAAAGGCAGGAATGTGACTACTGATGAAAGTCAGTGACCCGATTCAAGCTTGAAGAATGACTGATTTCTAATTGATTTTAGGATCGATTTTATTGGAGCCTGGGGTCTTTTCTATCTATTCTATTCTAGATTCTGCATGTTTATTATAGTTATGAAGTATATATTACAATAAACCTTTTCTACAACGTATAATATGTTTATATGCTACTACATCTTCCTTCAATTTGTTACATTTGTACTGGATTGTACTCCATGCACTGTACTTGTCTTGAATGTCCTGAATTTACTTCCTGATGCTTTCTATTTGGTTTCACAAATTGTTTGCTATGTAAGTTTGAATAACACACTGAAATGGTTATTCACTCAGGTGTCAGGAATTCAAAATTAAATTCAAATGCTAGATCCAATCCTGGTATGCTTTTCAGTTTTCAGTCACCTTTTAGTGATTAAAATTGTCAATGTATAGTAAAAAAGTATCAAAATACGTATTAAGAGTTTTTCACTTTAAATGTCTTCGGGCTGCACCCCTAAGACAACATTAACAAAAAAAATAGATTTAAAAATTATTATTTTTTGTCTTAAAGGCACAGCCTTACTTTTTTTTTACTATTTCTTTTATATTGGTTTGGATTGAGATCTAGGGAATTTGGAAGCTAAAGCAACACCTTGAACTCTTTGTCATGCTCCTCAAACCATTCTTAAATAGTTTTTGCAGTTTGGCAGGGTGCATTATCCTGCTGAAAGAGGCTACTGCTATTAGGGAATACCATTGCCCTGAAGGGATTTACTGGGTCTGCAACAATCTCTAGGTAGGTAGGTGGTACGTGTCAAAGTAACATCCACATGAATGCCAGGAACATTGCCACAAGCATAACACTGCCTGCCTCCTCCCACAGTGTTTCCTGCTCCATTGCTCAATTCTGGTGCTCATGTCCCCGTTGAAGGTGCTTTTTCTATCAAGACCAGCATTCTATGATGGCCAGCAAGGTTTCCGCAATTTGAGCTACAGCTCTTCTGTGTGATTGTACCAGGTGGTACATTGAAGACAGCTACCAATCTTCCCATGAGTGGATGTCCCAGCAAATGCACCCCAAAGTCAGACTGTGCAATGCTCAGAGAAATTGCAAAAAATCCAAGAGTTACATCTCTCAAAATATTGACACTTTGGGCCCGATTTGGACATTTCCACTTAGGGGTGTAATCACTTTTGTTGTCAACGGTTTAGACATTAATGGCTGTGTGTTGAGTTATTTTGAGAGAACAGCAAATTTACATTGTTATACAGGCTGTACACTTACTACGTTACATTGTAGCAGAGTGTCATATCTTCAGTGTTGTCACATGAAAATATATAAAATAAAAAGATATAATAAAATATTTACAAAAATGTGAGGAGTGTACTTACTTTTGTGAGATACTGTATAATTATATATATATATATATATATATATATATAAATAGCAAAATCCAAAAAGGTTATGGTGGGGAAAAATTGTGATTGAAAACCCCTTCCACCTGAAGTATGTGGATAGTTAATACAATGCTAAACAAAAATCTGCACACTAGTCAAGCCATAAGACTTGCTTTTCCCACAGAAATCCCAAATCAGCACTGATGTTACAACCGCAAAGGATTCTGGGTGGGCATATGCAAATTAGTTTAACAAAGAATCACATTTTTGCCTCATTCCATTTTAAACATGGATTCCTTTTAACAAAAATAACGAAAGGTGAAGCGCTACATACAAATTGAAGTCCAATTCTTATAACTGTCGTTCTTGTCGATCAATATTTTTCTGAATGGTATATAGATCTTACTCTAAAAAGGAAATTAAAATACTCTTAGTGCAACACTGTAACAAAAATATTAAAAGCAATATAAACTCTATATATGGAACCACTCACATATTACTGAGCTTACGACCAAGCTCAGGGATATATGCCTTCAGGTCTGTAAAGGCGACCTTTCTCCTTCTTTTATCCAAGTGACAAATTCCCCGTTGCAGCTAGGGCTCAAGCAGAGATATATATGGTGCAATATAGTTTCAAATCCGTATATAGTGTAGGAAAATGTATATATTATACTCACAAATCTGGAGCCACTCTCTTAGGCTCTTTTCCAACACGTTGTGTAGTTGAGGACTGGATTCCTTTTAATTTGTGTTTGCAGTATACAACTGCTTGGAACACAATTTAGGATAAGATGCAAAACCAGTGAACCACTCATGGACAGCTGTTTCGTTGTTAATGCAACTCTTCAGCATGAGGTTGGTTACTGGTTTGCTTAGTGAGGCTTGGTAGTGCTTGGGAAGCAAAATCCAAATAGGTTATGGTGGGGAAGCATTGTATTAACTATCCGCATACTTCAGGTGGAAGGGGTTTTCAATCACAATTTTTCCCCACCATAACCTATTTGGATTTTGCTTCCCAAGCACTACCAAGCCTCACTAAGCAAACCAGTAACCAACCTCATGCTGAAGAGTTGCATTAACAACATTTTTTTTATCCTCTCTCGCTTCCTTTTGTGATACATTCCCACATGTGGCAGTCATTCTAGAATTTTCTCCAATTATAACCAGATATGCATTTTGTTACATGGACAAATGCAGATAGGTACACGCTCAGAGACAAAAACACACCCACTTATGGATTGAAGGCATGGCTACAGGCAATGAATACTAAGGTGCTGTAATTGAAAAAAAGTGTTGAGGGGTTTGGAGCAAAAAGGAAAAACTGAAATTGAAAAAGGCATAGACACTACAGTGAGTGAGGTGTAAACAGAGTCGGGAAGAACAAACATTGGGAGAGATGGAGAAGGGAGACTACTTGGATAGAAATTATGTAGGGGTAACACAAGTTGTTTAGAGATGGAGGAGAGATACAGGTGAGGAAGTCATATAGGACATGCAGATCTGGGATAAAGATGTGGAAAGATTCTGTTAATTCATCATTACATACAAGGGTTCTCAGTGGTTGGGCTGATCTAAATTCTGCCATACTCAGCATACATATATTGAACAGATTATGAGGAACAAATTTAATTATGTCCCCCAAGCAGCGGTGGTAGGCATTAAAATGTCTTTAAATTCTAGCCAGTATAAGTCATAACAGCTATTGTGCATGGAATGTCACCTTTAACAATTTTGTTTTTTGGTGAAGGATGGCTTCAAATGGACAAATCGCCCTAAGTGCCTAATATACAGTCAGATTTATCCTTGGATCGAGAAGCTATTACCCCACAATTTAAAAATTCTACCCTTGAATAATCTGTTTTTGCAAGCATGCATCAAGTTGCTGTTTAAACATCTGTACAGACTCTGATAAAACCACTGTTCTTACTGTAAAACCTTTCCTTTGCCCAAGACTAAATCTACTTTCTTTCAGTCTAAGCGTGTGACCTTGTGTCCTATATATAGTTCTGTTTGTGAATTTACAGACAATAGTTTGTATTGGCCCCGGATATTTTTGTATAATGCTATCATATTTCCTCTGATGCACCGTTTTCCTAAACTAAAGAAGTTTAACCCCTTAAGGACCAAACCTCTGGAATAAAAGGGAATCATGACATGTCACACATGTCGTGTCCTTAAGGGGTTAAATTTGTTAAGCTTTCTTCAATACTAAAATGTTCTATTCCTTTTGTTAATGTTGTCGCCCACCTCTGCACATTTTTAGTGCCGTAATATTCTTCTTTAGAACAGGTGCTCAAAATGGCACAGTGTATTCAAGATGTGATTTTACCAGTGATTTATAAGGAGGTAAAATTATATTCTCATCCCGAGAATGAATGCCCCCTTTTATACATGACAATTCCTTACTGGCCTTAGCCACTGCTGATTGACATTGCACAATGTTGCCTAGTTTGTTGTCTATAACAATTTTCAAATCCTGTGTTGCTATCCCTAATTCACTACCATTTAGGGTATATGTTGCTCGTGCATTCTTTACCCCGAAGTGCATAACTTTGCATTTTTCTACATTAAATTTCAAATGCCATTTGAGTGCCCAGTCCCCCAATCTATAAAAATCCCTCTGCAGCAAAGTAATAACTTGCTCACATTGTATAACTTTACTTAGTTATGTGTCATCTATAAACACTGAAACATGACTTTCAATGCTTATTTCAAGATCGAAATTATAAATATGTTAAATAGAAGACACCACTTACCACTTTTGTCCAGCTTAAACTTTACCATTAAAGACAACTCTCTATACTCCATTTTAAATCAATGTTGTACCCAAGAACAAGAATTTTCATCTAGACCAATTTCTTTTAGTTTGAACACTAACCTAATGTGTAAAACCGCCTTCTCAAAATACACGTAGATCACATCCACTGAAACACCCTTATCGATACTTCTACTTACTTCTTCGTAGAATGAAATTAAGTTAGTTTGATATGACCTAAGTTTCATAAAACCATGCTGTTTGTTTCTGATATCAATGTTTTCGCAATGAATTTTTGAATTTATGTACTTAAAAAATACTTGGGGGGGAGAGCTTAACTGCTGAACTGAATGGATGCTATTCTCCAGCACTCTCAGGTGTTGGCGAATCATCCGTTGCCATCTAGAGTTCCACTGGGCCAACAGCTTGTGAGATCAGGTGCCCTAACACCAAGGCAGGAAAATCCGCTACAAGACTTGGTTCTACCTCTCTCTCCTGCCGACGGGGACCTCACCGCTACGCTCAGAGCAGTACCCGGAACTTGCATACTTCTCCCAATCGAGCGTCTCTCACTCGCCAGCTTCAACATGGGGAGAAAATCTCAAACATCCCAAGTTGGAGCGTACAAAGACACCCCGGTTATTGGGGCCCTAGTGTAGCGACCCGCGAGCCACAAGATGGAGGTTGAATCTGACCCAGATTCCAACTCTACCCAGAGGGACAAGGAGACTCTCTCCAGTCTTAACCATCTCTTTCGCTGCAAGCTGAGTGGGATGACTTGCCCCCCCACAAAACGTGACATCTAACATCTGATACAGGAGATGAAACAAATGTTCGATGATCCAGGTCACAGAAGAGGACATACCAGACATACGCCAAGTAGTGAAAAGTATGAGGAAACTCTACCCTAATACAGTACACCAACTGTGTTCCAAACTACACTGGACACCATGAAAGACCGTAATCAGTGAAAAAACATCAACATTCGTGGGATACCAGACTCAGTCGATCCGACCCAGCTGCCTCCCTACCTAAGAAGACACACTGCTGTACTCCTACCACACACTCAGGCTAAAAAGTTCAAGTTCGATGGCCACCGCATCTACGAAATGCAAACGTGAAATACAGATGGTTATTGCCAAAAACCCTTGCGATTATTCAAAACATTCTGAAACGCACCTGTATATCAGAGGCTTCATCCTTCCTACAATCGTTGCTAATGCCATATTTACATTTTATGTTTGTGCATATAATTTACCACTTTTTGTCATGTTATCATTTTACCATTAGACACAATTGTCTTTTGACTGCATTAAAATTTAAATGAAAGTTTTCATGACATTCCAACTAAGTTTTCACCAGCATTTCAGAAATATTTTATCTTGAAATGCACATACATAATATTTTAGTGACAGCCTCTTTAACGGTTAGAACAGCCCTGCCTGACTTCATCTCTATATTAACCAATAATTTTTTTCTTCTCAAACTAGCCTTATACCTTTACTCATCTAAGTAATAAGGATGAAGTGAGCAGGACAGGTTATCACATTTCTTCTACGTTAATGCAAAGAAAAATAGTCAGGAAAATAATGGTATACCACAATCCAATTTTTTTTTTCTCAGTTCTGCAATAAAGACAACTAGAAATAGGTGGAGTAGTGCTTAGTCCAAAGGGCTGGGCTCGAAACTGGAAATACCCTCCTTCAACAGCAAAACTCAGAAACTTTGGATGTTGCACCGCAATCTGTACATGGAAGTAAGCATCTTGTAAGACAATGGACATCATCCATTGGCCTGGAAAAATTACTTCCAGAAAACACTGCAGAGATTCCACCTTTAATTTTTTACTTTTAAGAACTTGTTTAGTCTTTGAACATGCAAGATCGCTCTCCATCCTTCAGAAGCTTTTTTGGTCAGGAACCGGTAGGAGTAGAACCTGAAGGCTCTTTCTTACCCTGGGACTACTACATGTTCTGCTTGTAGAGATGTAATGAACATTTTTAGTGCGTCTCTCTTCCCTTTGTCTTGTGGCAATCTTCTAATCTGGAAACTGTGATTTGGAGGGGAGCTGTTGAATTCCAGAACAATATCTTATTGACATGATGTTTAAGACCCATCTGTCCTGAACTAATTTCTCACAAACTTTTTGGAACAGGAGTGTGCCCCTATTC